TGTTTTGTTTTGTCATCTTGGTCTTGCCCAGAGAACTTTTTGATCCTGTTTACTCTCTGGGTGGGAAAAAATGTAATGGTATCTTCTACTTCATCTTGCATTTTGTCTCCTCTCAGTTTCTAATGAGCCACTTCCCTGCTCAATGTTGTGTATTGCGTGCTATAACGATTTGAGAAATCTGAATAGCCAGTAACTGTCTTTTTCCTGCACAGTCTGATTCAATTTATGTGGATGAGAAATTCTGAATGGTAAAGATACGATTGTTGCATAGAAAGGGCAAACCTCAAATTAGGGGAAAGGCTGGAGAATCAGAAGTGGTAGGCACATCACTCCTTTGTGTGCCATTGGCTTCAGAAATGAGTAACCGAATGGGCTGCTAGGCTAGAGAACATCTTTGACCTTTTTTCTATCAAGAAGCATTGCTGACACAGTGGCTTTAATTGCATCTCCTTTCTTTTGAGTTTTAATAATGTTTGCAATATATTTTTCAGACACTAGATGACTGTGCTTTCTGTATAATTTAGGGTGGTATATTTCATAGTAAACAATGGAGCCAAAACCAGAATTCCCTTTGTGCTGACACCCACTTTTCTCTGTGGTTGAAGCTGTTAATTTAATAAGTAACTGAACATTAATGTTTCTGCGAAAAAAATTTACCCAGAGATAAACATGTAGCATATGAAATATCAGGGGATTGACTTTTTTGGATTAAAGTTAGGAGAGTGGGCTTTAAAATTAGATTTATAATGGGAAGCTAGCTTCCAACATAACTAAAGTGACATAAGAGCTCTTACTGGCTTGTAATTCATAAGCAATTTAACATATTGTTGACGTAGTCTGATCCTTTTTCAGGAAGAACAGGTACAAACTCTTAGGATTTCTTTAAATAAATTTAATCAGATTGGTACATACTGGGTGCATCTACACAGGCATTTTAATGTGAAGTAGACTTTTACTGCACATTAGTGTCATTTAAAAAACAGTGACATTACGTTAATACACAGTAAAATAGTTTACTGTGCATTAAGTGTCACTAAAAAAGCATGCAAATGCACTATTGTGCATAGCCTAATGTTCATTAATTTAGTACCTCACATTGGAGGTACTAAATTTTTAATGTGCATTAGAAAAGGCACAGTAATGCACGCGGTAGACATGCTCTGTGTAAATTGAGTTGTCATGCATTTAAACCATATACTGATTAACCTCCATCAGAGTTGGTAAAATAACATAACTTCTTACTAGGTTTTTTTACTTTTTATCTAGCCCCTTTTTGTATAATTCTAAGATCATTGCTAATTATGACACAGGGATGGGCTTTAATAGAACAATCTCAAATATGTTGCAGTCTTAAATAAGGGATACCAGTTTAGTCGTACAAGATAATGCATGGATAGGTGGCCACCTTCTTTAAATTTTTGCCCTACTAGAATCCTTATTTTAATTTCCCTAATGTTACTGTATCACTTAAATCTTTGGCTTTTGATAGTTTTGGGCTTGAAGCTTTAATTTAGAATTGTTATGTCATTTAATATGTATTTGAGAGTTTGCTTTGAGTTGTTCATTTTTTTTCAGCATAGAGTATTTAATGTTTTGCACATGGGGTGTGCTGAATATATTTCACTTTAAGTGGTGACATTGTTGATTGCATTAGAGACGAGGGCTACTTGAATTACTGATGCCATTCCATTTGGATAATTCAGTCCATAACTTTTTATTCGTGCTCTGTGTTACATTTGTAAAGCTGAATCTGCTGCTGAAATTCATGTTCACTTTCCAGCTCTAGTCTGGGCACAATTTTTTTTTCTTCATTGTAGAGCTAATGGAGAACCTTAATCATAAGGTCACAAATTCAGCTAAAGTACAGGGCCAGATCCTGAAATTACTTCACTGTTTTAGCATGATCCTTGTTTAGAAACAGTTGCCACTGAAGCCAGTGGGTACTTAGCTTTTATAAGAACTGATTAAGGAATTCAGGCTTTAGTCAATGGCTGCCAGGGTATGAATTCTTGCTTATGTTTGAAGCCTAAAAATCTGAAGCCATTTTTGAACACAGATCCCATCATGCATTTATTTCCCATTCTAATTTACAGAAAACTGGTTGTGAAAACAGCCCAAGGGACTTGATATTTTTCCACGCCAGCTGTTCCAGCTGAACTACAGCTGCAAATTTAAAAAAAAAAAAAAAAAAAAAAAAAAGGCTGTTTCTATAAACTGTTGAGTATATTTTATAATGGCAATAATTCCCACAAAATCAGTTACTATAGTTAATGACTAGTTTGTTAAGGCATTAACTGCCCTCAGCTGGGAATGACCAATTTCTCTGGAATGGTTGTATAAGTACTAAGGATAATTTAGTAATGCTTTCAAATAATGATTTAGTTAATTAATGGTAAATTCTTGTGGAAATCCTATCAAAGTACTTATGACCTCCACATTTAATATCCAATGAGTTCATCATGATTCATGTTTATTGCCATAAATACTAAAGGAATCCACAATAACTAGGCCATTATTTTCCATGCCTGCCTTTACTGCTTTAGGCAATTTGGCTAAGCCACCTTCAGTCATTAAGTGCCTGATTCTCAAAACTACCAGTCTTTGTGAGGCATAATATTGGCACATTACCAAATTTCGGTGATTTTTTTTTTTTTTTTATGCACAAATTGTTGGCAGATTTTTCTTTTTTTTTTTTTTTTTCCATAGCTAGGGGAATAATTGATGCCTACTGTACAACTCATAAGGAAGTCTTTAGCAGTGACTGAATTTGCATACGTAGCTTCAGGCTGTGGTCTAAAATAGTAGAAAAGGTACCGCACCCTATTCCTTTATGGCTCTTAAGAATAGAGCTCTTTGCTTTGGTCCAGTGTGGGTTTGGGACTTTCTGCAGCCAAGTTCTGAAATAATGGTTGACTCATGGTTTAATTTGGCAATAATCAAATGAGAATAATACAACACAGGATGCCCTTGCTCAGCTCAGTCTTTTAAGGAAGGATCCACTATTTACGGTATCCATTTTAAAGAGTCAGAGCCCCTCAGACCAAAGACAGCTGGCTTATCTGTGCATCAAACATTAGACTAAAGTATAGCATTGAACCTATACTGGTTGTGCTAATGGATGACCCCATCCAGTCAATTTGTTATTCTTAATCCTTTTTTCCTACAGTATTTGACTATTTGAATAATGCACTGCTGTTATTTTGCCCTGACATTAGTTTGGGGTTCATGGTAACATGGTTAGATGGTCCTGTTTCTTTTTAGCAGCCTACCTCTAAAGTATTGTGACAACACAGCTTTAAAGCCATCGAAACTGAAATATTTTCTTTATTTTTATTTCCCTTCTTTACAAATATAAAGAAAAATAAAATGGAAAGTGAATCCAAGAAATTAAAGCAGAGGGCAAGGTAGAGATACATCTTTGATTCAGTTAATATAAAGGTACACTTTTACATTGCTGTCTGCCTCAATTCAGACTGTCGGGACTTATTACTCTCTGCCCAGGAAATTGAGGGCATTGTTCTATTCCATGTGCCACATTGGTCTATTAGGACCTCTCAAGCCAGGGGATGGAATTGAAATGGCATGGTTCTTTCCTAGTATTTTTATACAGAAACACATTGTTTCTAAGATGAAAGTGAGCTTATGGTTTGAACTTTGGCTTTTGCAAATGGGTAATCTCTCAGTAGTATGGGAGAGATCAGTTGTGATTATGTTTAGCATGGGAAAGATCACTTAATTGTCCTTTAGCAAATTGTGAGTTTGTAATGCCAATCCCTGAAAGTGTTCCATGTTCTTTAGGTAAATGACTATTGGGAAGCAACAGCAAAAAATAAGTATGTCTGCTTAGGGCTTATATTAAACTGAGGCACAATAGTCTGATTTCATAGAGGAACTGCCAATTTCTGTGATCTTTTTGAGGAGGAATTTTATCAGTGATGGCTGCCTCAAAAAGTTAGTGTTTTGCCAGTATCTCACTATTTCCAATTTAAATATGGGTGGAAACTATGGTATCACTAGTATTGTTTGGAGTAACTGTGAGTAAGTGTTGATGTGGTGACCTCTATCCTGATTTGGCTCATAACAGTGTCCAGAGAAGTACATTAATCTCACCTATTGTCAAAAAGCAAAGAACTATGGAAATATAGGGCTGGAAGGAACCTCAGGAGAACATCTAATCTAAGCCCCTGCACTGGGGCAGGATCAAGTTATACCTAGATTATCCCTGTTTGTTTGATGTGTTTTTTAAAACTACTTTCACAGCTATGAAGTTTTTTCTGAAACCCATTCTAAAACTCTTTTTGCTATATACAATTAACTGAGTACCTACTTAATGTAGAATCACCCAGCTTTCTTTGTAATGAACACCATACAGATTTTTTTTGGTGTATTTTTATCTAAACTGTTGAACTCCTTTTCTGTACATTGCAATTGCTTAAATGGCACCAGAACACTAGAATGTCTTGCCTTTTTATATAATCCTCTTTAACACAAGAGTTCATGTGATTGCTTATTTCTGCCCCTGGTAGACTCTTTAATATTATTTGTGTTAAACTAGTTGATTGTATTAGCCAGATGTCTATTTATAAACCAACAGTGCAATAGACACTATTGATTTCCTAGCTGGAAATTTCTACAAAGGGTAAGATCTGGAGTGAGACTGAATTCCCTTTTCAGTACTAGAGAGTAGAACCCTGCAACGGTTGGGGAAGCATTAATTTCCAGGTGGTTGCTTTGGGGAAACTGGAACTGCCTGTGCCCAATCTGTCAGTGTTCTGGGGATAAAGTCTTTGGTTCTCAGAACTTGATAGATTTTAGCGAAAGGTTCTGGACTCTTTTCTTGTGTAAGAGAAACTGTTTTAGCGATGTAGAATTTAAAAGCTATGTTTATTATAATCTTAATCAAAGAATTGGATTTGAAATCCTGAATTAACAGGAATTTACAGTAATTAAAAAGTTAGGTTTTTGTTGTTAACACTGTATTTCATGTCTTTTTCTTCTAGCAAATGAGAGCTACAAGCAAGTAGCAATGTGTATTCTGTATCACATAAGTATGGATGATCGCTTTAAATCAATGTTTGCATACACAGACTGTATACCACAGGTATGTGTTTTTCTTGGTGATGCACTTGGTGATGCATTCTCCCCCTCTTCTCTGCTCCCTCCCTCCCAACCAAACATAACATTTGTTCCCTTCCCTCTAGCTTGTGGTGACACCTGCAGGTGGTAATGGGAACACGTGATTCTACCTAAGCAAATTAACAGCTATTAATTAATAAGATGACTTAACTATACTTGCTAAATTTAAGCAGTCCTCCATAAAAGGAAACGGTCAGCAGATCTTTTTCTACCAGTGTCTGACAAATGAGGCACATCACCTTCTTGGTATGACAACCAGATGAATGCCCAACAGAAGACTGCAGTGGTGAAAGGAGATGAAAATTGGTTCCCTGTATATTTATGGCATGTCTCTTGGAGAATTTCACTTCTGTAGATATAACAGGTGTTCCTTTCCAATTCCATTTAGGATCAAAATGTCAGTGTCTACAGCATTATAGGATATGAAATGGATATCAGCCAAGCAAATGCTGCACCACTACATGGACTGACAATTCCTATTCTGATTGAAGTCATGCAGCATAAGGGAAAAGTGAAAAAAATTGTATAGTAGGAAAATAAACCCTTGTTTACTGATCTTTATAGGCTGAAGACTAGTCTTACACCTCTTGCTGTCTCGTGTTGCAGCTTGACTTGGGCACAATAATCAATAAAAACAAACTTTTGTTTAAAAATAAGTTATTGGTGCTCTTAAACAGCTATATAAACTGTTTATTCTGGGCACTTATTGAGGCTAGAGTTGAGACCAGAGCCTATAATACACAAGTATAGGAAGCCATCCAGTAGCTTTTTCAGAATTGCACCACAGCATTTTCATTCCTGCCAAACATGTTTTTAACATCAAACATATCCAGGATGGGAAGTTGCCACGGAAAGTTTTAAGAACATTTCTGGTCATTATTTCATAACAAAAATTGTTATGTTTTTCCAAATTGGGGAGGAGGAGAAATAGGGATGGAGAGGAAGAATAAGATCTAATGGGAATAGCTAGTGTGTATTACAAAATACTCTTGTCAACATCCTGCTGATTGTTTTTGCCACAAGATAGAATTTTATGTTAGGAAGCCTGGGTGATAAAAGGGACCTCTTTCTTTCTGAATTTTTGCCTGCCAAGCCAGAGGTCTTGCTTTGTGGTTTGGGGCTCAGTTGTTATGTACTTACAGGAAATATTGGCATTGTTCTAGGGTCTCCAGTGCCAAATGTAAAGAATCATGGAAATTCAATAATGTCACACTGAGCATTTAAATGATATCCTTGTTCTGATAGGCACTGGCTGTTCAAAGTAACGCTTATAAGGTTTGATCCAAAGCCCAGTGAAGTAAATAGTAAGATGCCCATTGACTTCATCGGGCATCAGATCAGGCCCATAATGCCTACTAATTCTTAAGGAAGTCTGAGACCATTATGAATGTTTACCTCTCTTATTTAAGTACTTCATCAGACTGTCTGGAGACCCTGGTCATCAAAAGATATATTTTGATTGGCCAGTTGGTTATTTTAAATGAACATGCTGTACATATTGACAGCAGGTCACAATTAAAGTTAATAAGCAATACAAAGGTCAGAGACAGAGCTCTGGGGTGATAATGATGAGGGAATGTTCTTTCAAAAGCCTTTGTGACCCTCTGTGAAGAGGTTTATAGGCCTTGCACACCAAAGAAGGAGCTGGACATGTTAAGATCCAGCAGCAACCCACGTGGCTCAAATAGTCAGTTGGAGTCCAAGCCCAAGTGCAATCAAAGAATAAAAGGAGAATGCACGCAGTTAGAAAAGGGGCTGAGAGAAGCTCCAAATATCTAGGCTGGAGGCAACTACCCAAAAAGGGGCACACACAATGTTTACACAGAAGAGGTCTAATGGCACTTCCCTTTCCTCACTTTTCTATTTGAGAAAAATCATGAAGTTGAAAATGTCCAAGGATCCAAATATGAGTTTTGTGGAAAGAGAACTGTAACTAGTTCAAACTCCATCTTAGACTGCTACTAGAAGGAACATCCAAGCATTTGGGGAAGAGGAGGAGAGAGAAAGCTGCTAAACAGTTGTGGGAATGAAAAATGTTAGAAAATAATAGTAATAGTTATTTATCCTCCTAATACATACTTTTTTTTCCCTAGTGGAAATCCATGTCCTTCACCCTCCCCTGCCCCCCCTTCCCCACTAAATTGTTTTTAACTGTGGTTTTTATACAAAATGAAAGGGCTGTTCTTCACTAATAATAGGGCATTTTCCATTATGTCTTTGAGGGCTATTGGCATGCTTCTTGGATAGCTGTTTCATAAACAGAAGGATGGTACCACAACAGCATTCACCCTGCTGTAGTTTATTGCTGCATTAATATTCTAGCTCACTTACATAAGGATTTGAAATAGATATGGATCATTCTTCACCTGTGCTTCCACTAAAAAAATGTGCTGCCTTTCATTGCAGTTAAACTGCAGCCACTTGGAAAATGCTTGTGTTGAATTGCCCTTTGCAGAAGGATTGCAATAGTGTGTTGCTGTAATGGTCCAGGGAATATGCAAGACGCAAGTTCTGTTTGGTACTTCTTATTGGCTTAACTATATAATTGAGAGAGAAGTTAGACAAGTTTTTGGGGACCATGTGCTATTCCATAGGTCTGGGTAAGAAGCAGAAGCAATATAAGCTAAATACCAGGTAAAATGGGCTGCTGTAGTGACCCATAGGGACAGTGGGTAGGGAAGGTTGGTGACTGAACAGAAAAGGTGTTGCCAGTCTCTTCTGCCCTCAGCCAGACAGATTCCATGTCCACAGTCCTGGCTGGTACATCTGGCATGTGCACTGAGTTGGGAACCTGGCTATGTCGTACTTGCAGGCCAGTTGCATGAGTCAGTATCCTTCCTTTGAACAGGATCTGAAAGGGGCTGCGTTATCCCAGGTAAACATCCCTGTGTATTCCAGGAGTTAATGGGTGCTACTCTAGTAACAGTTAAAAGCAAGTATTAACAGTTCATTCTTGTTTAGACCTCAGCAATGCGTGTTTTGTTTAAATAGGTGCAAATGCCATCCAGATGCTTATAAAAGCATTTATTGGTAATAACCTGGCCAATCAAAAGGCATGGTTTGGCAGTGATGTCATGGTGATATTTAATATTTCACCACAAAGCAGTGTAGAAGGATCTCCGCAGCGACCCACATGTTTTCCACCACAGTTGTTCCACTTGGCTCGTCTTTGATCTGCAGGCTTCTTTTTAGCTTAATGCTGGTAAACGTCCTCTCTTGACAGCACCTTTTGCTCCTGTCCGCCATTATCTGCTGAAGTTCAGAAACCAGAGCATCACTTCAAACAGCAGAGTTAGGGAGTAGTGGCTCAGAAGAGATTCCTGAGGCATGCAGCTCTGGCATAATCATTCAAAGATGTTTGAGTTGAGGTTGGGGAGGGGGTTGGACAGAGGTGTATGTGAACAGAGAGCTGTGGGGGTTGGCCTCTGGTCACTGGTAAATAAGTGAAGTCAGGTGCCAGAGAGTCTAGACACAGTGATTTCAGTCCTGGGTCTGTGGTATCTGATACTCAATATGGGACTTGTCTGATTGAACACTACTGCCTCTTCATGGCACATGCTGCAGCCTTTTTACTGCCTTCCTGTTAAATCAGTAAAAGATGACAATGGACATAGTAAAAGCAGAACAAATTTAATTTTAATATTTCCTATTTGGCAGCAATTACTCTTCCTTTTGAAGTGGCACGAGGAGCAATCAAATTAAATGAAGACATAATGGGAAACATGGAACTCATACAAAACTATTAGTTTAAAATTTGAACTGGTTTAATTGAAACTGGAGGGGGTTTTTTTTCTTTTTAAAGAAAAGTTGCTTGGTAATGAACAATTTAATCCTGTTATGTAAAACATTCAGTTTACATAGATTTTTGCATCAAGTGAGCTATGCAAATGTTTTTTTTAACACACATAATTTGAAGAACTTTTTTAATTTAAAGTTTCCTGTCATGAGAATTTTCAGGGGAGAATTTCACCCATTTGTTCTATTGTCAGTCTTATGCTGATTAATATATGTTCATAATAAGTAACAGGCTTATACATTTAATAACGATTTTTATAAGAAGCTCTTAAAACTAACTACAGAAATATGATTAGGAGGAAATCAGTGTTAGCTTTTAAATGAGCCTGTGAAAGTTCCCTGCAAAAAAAAAAAATTGCTCTATGACCTAGATATGTTTTTATTTATTTGGCAGTCCCTTTGCAATGACAACCTGATATCTGGCAATGGGTAAACATTTTAAATCACTGCATGAAAATACTTTTGGCAAACTTCCTCACATGTCTGTGGTACAGTTGCCTCAGCTGTTGTTCATTCTCTGAATATATTTAGGTAGCTCCCCACGCCATCTTATGCTTAATTCATAGTCATTCAGTATGCCATATATATGTTTGTAAGGAGTACTCAGCAAAGATACAGCTAGTTGGCTTGTTACAATGGTTAGTTTTTTCTTTTGTTGTCCCATCCCTGTCATAGTGATGTCCTGTTATTACATTCTGTCTCTTTCCTATTGAAGATCAACATTTTTAAGGTAATTCCAGCCTCATAGTTGAGCTACTTTGTGTTATGATCCTAACAGGCCTCTCAAACCAAGTAGCTTGACTTTTCTTAGGACTCGATTGACTAGCCAACCAATACACTTACAAGCCTGGGCTTGATTTGATACTTCATTATGTGATGCTCCAAGGGTATTGGCAGAGACGAAAACACAGACTGGTATTTTGATATGGATGATTTTCATGTACTACTAGGTTGCTGTAATTGTTTTAATCAAAATGGGCAAAATTAGAGTGGGTATATGAGCTATGATGGATTAGTGAAGACAGGAACAGATTATTTAGATCAGTGGCAAGCTGTAGGCTTTTTGGGGGAATTCAGTAGCAGGTACTACAGGGGTTGGAGCAGAATGATGGACAGATGTATATTTTACCTGAAGTGTCCTTTTTCTTTTCTGCTGAAGGAGGAAGGAGGGTGCTAGGGGAAACTGACTCAATACAGCAGTACGTGGTAGTAGCTATAAGAGTTATGGATAGTAGGTTTGCTTGCCTAGAATGGGGGTCAACAATCTTTGAGAACAGTGGGCCTTTGCTGGCAACCTGGCCACTGCTACAATTCACTCTGCAACAACCCAGTCCTCCCTGCTCGGTGCGAAGGGTTGCTTTCTCACAGTCACAAGTTGCACTTACCTTTGACACCAAGTGTCACTGATTTCTATCTCTAGCAGCAATGGGAAGATGCATTTTTGGTTAGCAGATGCTGACGAAGATAAGTGCAGCCTGTGAGTTGCTGCAGAAGGGATCAGTGCCACATAGCAGAGGAATGATGGCTTGGGGCTTAGAAGGTGTCCCTTCCACTATGTGCCACTGCAGTCTGGTTCCAGTATCTTGCAGGCCAGATTTGGCCTGAGGACCATAAGGTTGTTGTCCTTTAGCTTAAAAATTGCAAAGAACTCATCACAGCCAGTAGACTGGTGTTAATTTATGGATAAGTACTGAGTACACTCAGTCTACTAAAGCAGCAAAAGTGAAATATAGTAAACCAATTATTTGTAGCACCCTTATAGTCTCTTCCCCACCAAGAATAATGCATTTAATACATAAGGAACATATTAAAATACTTGTGGCAGTTTAACTGCTCACAATCAATATGATGTCTCACACTCACATTTTACCAAACCAAATCCAGTTCTTTTAGAAAAAGTGACAAATGATTGAAGTTCTTTAACAGTTTTTAACCCTTGTTATCTTCAAATGCTATCTTAGTATTCATAGATTCATAGATTAAGGGTCGGAAGGGACCTAGTAGATCTTCTAGCCCGCCCCCCCGCCAGGGCGGGAGAACAACAAAAAACCCCAAAAGAGAAAAACGGGACTCAAATGAGTAATGATGATTTATAATTGAGATTAATTTGGAAAGAAATGTAAAGAGTATAACTATCTTCAGATCTTCTCTTTTTCTTATGCTTTGGAAAACATAATGACTCAAGTGTGTGTTTGTGTGTCTTTAGTTAATGAAGATGCTCTTTGAGTGCCCTGATGAACGTGTTGACCTGGAGCTCATTTCCTTCTGCATTAACCTCGCTGCTAATAAGAGAAATGTGCAGCTAATCTGTGAAGGCAAGTGTCTTGGATTAGAAACTCCCCAGTGCTACTTTTACACAATACCTTTTCTGAGTTAGACCCATTCTAAAAAGATCTTTTGTTACCTTATAGAAAATTTTATGTTTTTTCTCTAACCAGGGGCTTTGTTACACATTACACTATGCTAGCTTGAGTTTGGAGCAGTCACAGGTTTAGGTCAGCAGTGTCCTGGAGGACTGAAAGGTAAGAATTCCCCTGTCCCTGGGACTCCCCCTACCCAGTTTACTTGTGGCTGCCTGCACTGTCTGTCTTGAGAGAGCAGGCAGGGAAGAATTAATTTGACTGCCCAGTCCCTGCTGCTGCCAACCCACTGCTCTTCTCCAGGCTGAGCCCAGCCCAGAGAGCAGCAGTGGCTGAGCAGGTGAGTTAACACTTCTCTGCCTGCTTCCCCGCCCCCCCCCCCCAAGGGGGGCAGAAACAAGAAAGCAGAGGGGGGGGCGGGGGGGGGGATTTTGAGA